ATTAAAATTCTTAAATTTATATTTCATAGGAGAATGTTAATTTCAATTTTGAGGGCTATGAACTGGCATTGAAAACAAATGTCCCTAATTGGAAATGATTTGCCATTCAGTTTTTACATTCGGTGATTATGGATCTAGCGCTGAAAAAATTGCTAATTAGTTCTTCAAAATTTCTTTCTGTGTTCTCGATGTAATTGCAAGTTCTTACAATGTTCACTTTTTGAAAATACTCATGGTGATTTTCTTATTTTTTGAAATCAAAGTCCATATTCTGTTACCTTGCATCATTGAGATCCGCAGAAGATTGGAGGCAGAATTTTTCAACAGCATAGAAAAAAAATTAAAATTCTTCTTAGAAAGGGCGGATCTAGAATTTTCTCGGGGGGAGGCGGATTTTCAAAGACATAGGCCAAGCTACGCTTCGCAACACTTGCAATACACCAATTATAGGATGAAAGCAACATGACGCTCGAAAAATTGAAAACAGAACTTCGAACAAGATTCAGTGGCGCAGGAATTAAAAAACAAAAAACATAAACTTTTTTGAGTTAAAATGATCAAAATTTTTCCAAGAAGTCTTAATGGGGTTGGGCATTCAAAAGTTGGCGACCGAGTTTTATTTATATCAAAAATGCTGCCAGACATTTAAAGGAAAAAAATCAGTGAATAAGCCGACTGAAATAAAACGGACAGGCAATTAGCTGAAACTCAGCCGAAAAAAAATCAAATTTGAAAACTACACGTAACGCCCACATCGGATACATGATAGCTATATAAACAGCATTGGCGAAGTGGACTTCAGAATTTGAAACTAAACCGACAGAGCTGAAGTCGAAAAATCATTAGCAGAAAACTAGTATCGAAACTGGTTAAATCATTACTATAAACATACATACAAATCATCAGGGGCGGATTTAGGGGGGGGGGGGGCGAGGGGGCGGACGCCCCCTTCTCAGGGATTCGACCCCCTGCCGACCCAAAGGGTCCCCCCTTTGATACTTTTTCAGAAATCCATTTTTGGCCGACCGACCCTAAAATTTTTCTAAAGGCGCCTTTGGCGCCAATATATACTAACTTTGAGGGGGAGCGCGCGCCAAAAAAAAATGCAATTTTTTTGTCAAAGTTTTTCAAAAAGTGCCCAAAAACAGCTTTTTTGACTGTTTTTTCAAAAATTTGCCTGCGGCGCAGAAACTTTTGCCAAAGTAGGGGGAAAACAGTGCTTTGAAAATCCGCCCCCCCCCCCTCGAGAAAATCCTAGATCCGCCCCTGCAAATCATTACTATAATTTTACATACAATCATTTGACTTCTAGAAATAGCATTTACTAGTAGTATTCAGTACCCCCCTAGATAATATTGAACTTTTACATTTTCAAATCTGATAAATTTTTGAATTAAATTCAGCCGTACTTTCCAAAATCATAAGTGTATTGAATATCCAAGGAGCGTTTATAAGTACTGAATATCCGAGGAGCATTCTAAAAACAGTGGGCCTATGTGTCTCACCGTTTTTCATTCATGTCGCTGGACCCAAATGAAACTTTGAAGAGAACTGTGAAACTTTGAAGAGAACATAGACAAATCTGCTCAAAAGAATCCGAAGCTCTGATTTTATTGAATGCGCTTTAAAAAAAACTAAATTTAAGGTCGTTTTCTAATAACTGTATGAAGAAATTTTCGCAAATCAATCATATCACTACCCGCAACGGAACTTCTTCCCTTAAAAATATGTAATCTAGCGGTTTTATGGTCGAAAAGAAAAGTTCAATCCTCTGCGATCAATTTCATGACAATTTTATGTTCCAGGACAAAATTATCATTATACATACTCAAAAAATCCGTTAAAACATTTTTGTTTCATGACAATTATATTGGAATTGTAACATGTTTTTTCTCTATATACTAAAAAAAAATCCTTTTTTCTCTATAAAATTGCATTAGCTAAAAAAAGTTTGCCTAAATTTGTGAAATACCATTGATTAGTTTTAGTTGAGAAACTTCGGTGTGGGGAAAAAACTTTATATTGAATGATTGTTACTGACATTTCGGGATGAGCTCGATGCAAAAAAAATCAATTCTATAATTTTATAAACGCAGTGTATAGAAAAAACTTTAATCCTAAAAATTCCACTTATGCATTTTTCCATACATTAGAAATGTTTCAATTTTAAGCGTCATTTTTAATATTTTGCAATCCGATTTTTGCCAATTGCCAATTGCCAATTAAGGGCAATTTGCATCACCAATTTTTTTTTCATTGTAAGATGTTTTTTAAACGATTTCCAATTGTTAAAATTGCATGATAAGCATTTAATTCATAAGAAAATCTGAAATTGAGAAAAAAATGTTAGTGCTCATTTATTGCCAATAACTTTATTGGCTTTCTCATTAAAGAAAATGTTTAGTCTTACAATAAATCACAAAAACATAAAGTGAAATACAAACAAAAATTATGTTCCTCATCATATTTGAAAAACGCTTGTTACAACTTTCCATTTATGGTAAAATGCTAATCACACAACTCCATTAATGAAAAAACGCTATTCATCCTATTCTATACCTGTTTTGTCAACGGATTGATATACAATTGTATGAAACGCTTTTTGTTCATAAATTTAAATTGTATGACCAATATATATTTCTGAACCAGAGTCACAACAGCGGTTCTCCATAAAGTTACCCGGGTTGACCAAAAATGCTTATCTTACAATTTCCATATATGAAAAAATACGTATTCTATAATTTCCTACAGTTTCATAGACTCAGAAAATTGTAAGAAAAAACTCTAGGACAAGCATTTTTTCATAAATGAAAAGTATAGGATAAGCATTTTTTCATAAACCAAAAAATTGATTTTTTCTAAATTTTATTTCTAAAAATTTTTGGGATGTGTTCGTGACCGAACACAAGTGACTAAACCCATGGTGTACTCAACACTAGAGTTCCCAAAAGGTTGATTGTCTGTCATTGATAATGCATTGCAAACGAACTGAATTGTAAAAAGGATAACTTCACAAATGATATAGTGTTGGTGCTCATTTATTGCCAATAACCTTATTGGCTTTCTCATTAAAGAAAATGTTTAGTCTTCCATTTAAATTTTGGCAAAATTTTTCAAAGACGATTTTTTTTAAAATTGAATTTTCAACTTATCAAACCTTGATCAAGGCATATATAAACGTGTCATACAAAAAAAACAGGAGTTTTTAGCCTGTTTTAAAAAAAGTTATCCAGGAAACAGAAAAAAACTCTTATTTTTGTGCATCGTGGACTACGTTATGCAAACAAAAAACTAAATTTTGCATGCAATTTTATTTTTTTTGGAAAATGTTTGTTTTAGTACAAAATTCGATTTGAAGTTGAAAAAAAATGAAAAAATTTTTGAGGCAATTTCAATTTTACAAAATTGTATGAAAATTGTATGATTAGCATTTTTCCATACATTTGATGTAGGCATTTGAATGATAAACACTTTCGGTGTGGGGAAATGTAAGATAAGCATTTTTGGTTTATGGAGGTCAACCCGTGTAACTAGCTCGTAAATTGGCCATTTCCATTGTGGATAATCCATTTTTAAAGAAAAAAATAGGCAAGTGAAACCTTTCTTTGTACATTTGTTTTTGCCAGTGAATTACATTTCAAGCAAACACAACCGATTGCTGTGCAAGTAGCACAGAATGTTCCGATCATATTCTTAAAACTAAAAACAAAAGTTTTTTTCAAAAAATCAATTTCAATTTTTGTGTGCGTGATAAATTGAAAGAATCGGAACAAAAGACTAAATGTTAGACAACTTTGATAGTCATAATAAAATGGGCATAATGAAAACTATTTTTAATCGAAAAAATGTCTAGTAAAAACAACGAAAATCTTAACAAAACAGTATGAAGGTTTTAAAAAAAAAATTTTTTAAGTTTTTTTTATCAAGATGGCCTTAAAAAACTATGACAACTTATTCAAATAACTTTTTCAGGGCTTGGGTAACAAAAGTACTGCTTATTTTCCTCTTAATTGTATCTATCTTTTTATAACAAGCCTCGCTTTGCTAATTCGGAATAAGACAAAAATCGAAAATAAAAAACCGTTTTTTTCGACACTAAAATTTTTTTAATGTCGTTCGAATCAGGACTACGAGGGCTTCATTATGAGATATCATTCAACTCAATACAATGATTGTTGGGTGTAACTGACTTAGTTGACAAAAAAACTAAGTCTGTTCCTAACTTCATTTGCTGGAAAATACGCCAAAAGTCAAATCTTTAAATTGGTTTTTCTCGACACTGAGGCTATTTTTAAAATTTGATAACGTCTTTTTTCGAGTCAAAACTGAAAATGCTTTTTTTGATACATCACTTAATCTAGTCCGATGATTTTTGTGGTACCTGATTTTGCGTGGAAAGCAAAAAAGAATTAAAAAACACTAAAACACACACGAAAACGAAATTCCTCCCTATTTTCAATAGTCGGAATAAAAAGGCATGCGTTGTCTTTTCACGCTTCAGACCTAGGTGTAATAAGTATCATTTGAACATGGAATGCGGAAAATTTTTAACATTTTTTTATCAGTGTTGAGTGGCCTGGTTATTTATTTTTCTCAGACTGACTTACTGCGGGACTTCTTTTCTACTGCCCACAAACGCTGAAAATTTAATTATTCAAAAAGAAAAAGGAAAATTAACTTTTCTTTATGAAAAAAATCTCTTTCCAATTTTTTTTTTCGGGCATAAATGCCGTGGTTTTTTCTGCAACAACTGACTTGTAAACTTTTGGATTTCAATACAACTGGAACTTCATTTGACATATACATATAACGGGTTCAATATGATACTACCAGATGCGCCCGAAAAAAAAAACGAGGCTCCGCATCGACTTTCTGTTGGGTTGTTTTTTCCTAACAAATGCCAATCTGAGGCTCTATTATGATAATAAATCAGGGCATATGTAGAATAGTATTGATACACTACAAGCTTTACAGGTTCTTTTGGAAGGAAAAAAGGAACATGTTGTTTCAAGTTTAATTCAATTTTATGATGACTTTTTCTTCATTTTGAGTTGGTGTTGACTTCAAAATGGGTGTTAAATGTCATCTAATTGCATTTCAATTGGGAATAAAATCATGGATTGTTAAATAATGAAATTTTGAGGAACAATACAAAATTCATATTATTTGAGAGCACCAATTATATGGACTGCAATGGAATAATTTGTTCTATCATAGTAATTTATTCGAAATTTTTGGTTATATTAGCTAATTTTTAAGGTCTTATATAGTAAATTTTCAACAAACTTGCACCCATGATAGCATATTTGTTTCAAACTTGAAGTAAATTTGAAATGGGATTAGCAATGAAAATTTCATTTCTATTTCAGGTTGAGGATTCAGATTAAAACTTCAGATTGACTTTGAATTATTTTGTTGATTAATGAGTTCGACAGCTACCTTGATTTTTTCGTTTCAATTTCGAAAACTTCGGCGTACAATTGAGATAAACATTTTTGATATTCTTAAAATTGTTATTCCCATGGATATATTGTGTTATCTAGCACCAAGATAAGCAAAACAACCACATCATCAGCAAGTCGAATGATCTAATCTGCTGATGAATTTTTCGGTGTAAGGCCATTGAGCAAGTCTGTCTGTCGTCAGTTGGGGGTGAACTACAACTTTCAACCTTCCAATTCTTCAGGCAGTCTCGCTGAATGTCATTCTAGATTTGTCCAAGCTGAAAATAAAGATTCAATCAAACACTTAGTTAACCGATTAATCTATTCTGATATCCTGCTAAATTGATTATCCTAATTTGAGCTTAATCAAAAACAGGGGCGGATTTAGGGGGGTGGGGGAGAGGACGCCCCCTCTCAGGGATTCGACCCCCTCGTCAACTAAGGGGTATTACTTTATTACATCCATTTTAGGCCGACTAGCCCTAAAATTTTTCTAAAACGCATTTGGCGTCAATATATACTAATTTTGAAGGGGAGTGCGGGCCAAAAAAAACGCAATTTTTTTTGGTTAAAACTTTCTTAAAAAGCCCAAACACGGCATTTTTGGCCTGATTTTTTTTGAATTTTGCCCCCCCCCCCCGCCCTCCTAGAGAAAACCCTAGATTCGCCCGTGATCAAAAATGAAATAACTTCGACAAAAACTAACATTAATGAAAAACGCTAAGAAAAACTTAAAGGCTGCTTTCATTGTAATTTCTGACTCGATATTAGATTTTTTTTTATTTTTCCGTAAGTTACCAGAACTCACAATTGTAACGCGAAATTGTACGAAAAACTCACAATTTGATTGTCGAAGGACGATTCTGGTGTTCAAAGATGTCCCTCATTTTCCCAAGCTCCCAATTTTCTCAGCTCAAGGCGATGTTAGGCTCAAGTTGAAGTTATTTTATGGCCAGATGATATGATGTTGTAATTCTGATGTTTCATTTTGGCCGCGTGTTATGTCATTTTTGTCATAGTGATGGTCCAGAATCAGTGGAAAATTCCAATGTACTGAACGGATTGACCGTCGACATTGACCACGTCAATTTGATCCATGAGTTTTCCTCGATGTGAAGTTTCAGAAACTAGTTCTAAAACAGGAAAAATATGACAATACTATTCCTCAGGAAAAGTTAGCAAGTAGACTCTAACTGAAATCTAGCGAGTTGTTTTGATAGAATGATGTTTATTTTGCCAAAAGGACAGAATATCTCAAAGATAAATAGATATTCCTTATAGGGCATAAATTTTTAATGAAAACTTCCAAATTTAGCTTGGTGCTGAGTCAGGGAATGCTTTTAATAATAGTTATATTGCCCATGAATGCTTGCTTATTGGTAAAGAGCTTGGAAAGACTATGCACACCTTCTTTGAATAGTGATTTATTGGCTTAAAAAAACAGGAGAAAACGACTTTTTATTTTTCTTGGTTATTGCCATTATATCAGAACCAATCATTTATCTTCGGGACAGGCTTCAATTAGGAGGTTAGAAAAAAGAGGCAACTTATTTCCACTTAAGGAAATGTCGATTCAGTGCCAGCTTGTTAGTCTCAGTTTCAGATTATTATAAATAGCTTCCCTGTGAAGCTTTGACGTTGGAAAACTTTGTTTAAAAAGAACAATATAAGATATTTACCAATTTAAAATGCGCTGAATTTAAATCACGTATTTTGAATTTATGTTTGGGAAAAATGATAATTGCTGAGTTTTTTCTAAGTTTAGATGGAAGCAACTTCTCTGAATGCTAAATTTATGATTAATGAACCCTTTAGTTTATAAAAGTCTCCTCATTATATTTTTCTTTGATAAAGGGAGGGGCGGCTGTAAGGCAAAGGTGCGTGCTTCCGGAAAAGTTGTAAATCCTATTTCCTTAAATGGTATCTAGACTTTAATCAGGGGAGATTATAAGATAAACATATTTACCGAAGTTTGGTGTTGAACTTTGAGAATGAACTTAAGTTTAAACACCTGCGGCCAAACTTTTCTGCTTCTCGTTATTTTGTAATGTTTTCACTCAAATGCCGCTCAAAAGAATTCGATCACTGAGCCAGACCAAATTAGAAACAGATAAAATTATCGACTTATATGGTAATAAATGAGGCCATTCAAAATAAAATGGTGAATAACCAAAAGCAGAGATTAAGTGAATTCCACGACAGGTCGAGCGTGAAGAGTTAAAGTGACGTAATGCATTCAAAGGCACCATTGACACCTGATTAGCAGGACATTCGATCCCATACGTCATAAAATTGTCTCTCCTCGAGAGCCCTTTCATTGGAAGATCCCGTTCAAAACAAAAGACTCGCACACCATTTCGAACTTTAGTCTCGGACGTTAAGTACTTCGAATTTTGGGGTCTTTTTGTACGGAAACCAGAAAACCGTTATTCTTAAAAACTTTTCAGTATTGATAAGTTTCAACCACTCTCTGGTCTGGGGAGGTTCGAAAATCAAAGTCGACCTAAGAAAAAGTCGAGCTAAGAAAAATAAATAATTTAGAAAATTTTCGAAAATCCAACCCCCTCCCCCCGTCGCCATTGGCTCTCTATTTTTCTGGAAGACCAATTATAACATTTGATTTAGAAACAAGAAAAATCTCTATGGTAATCAGTTCTGTTGAAATAGATTATGCTTATTTTCTACGTCTGGAAAAACATAAGCTATGCGTATACTCGTCTTCGTCAAAATTCGATACGAACGCTTGCATTTGTCCTCTGCGTTCGTCCTGTGCTCAGGCGTCCATCTGCGAAGAAAAAGATAAATTAAGAAGCATAGCCCCAAAATGTCCTTTGCACAAAAGTTATAGTGCACGCCTGACCGCTGCCACGCACAGGGCAGGCGTGCATTATAACATTCGTTCAAAGAATCTTTTTTGGCGCTAGGCTTAGTTTATCTTTTGTAGAAGACATTTTTTGCGGAAAACGAGAAATGAATTGGTTGCTTTGTAGGTATCCTGATCTTTTGTTCAATCAACTTACTATAATTTTAGTATTAAACATTGTTTACCATATTTGAACCAAGACGCGCCGCGTCACGGATATCATCATTACAAAATAATCTAACGCTTCAGTGGTTGACAGCTATTTATTAATTATCGCGATTTGACGCGAGAAAGATTATAATTTATAGCATATTAAAAAATTTTCAACTATATGTAACGTGTAATTAAATGCTTAAAATTTAAAAACCTCTCAAAAAAAATTAAAACCTTCCAAAATTGTCGCAACAAAATTTCTTTCTTGATTTCAGGGTAATTGTTGTACCCAAGCTAGTCAATCCTTGCCTTTGAAACTCTGAGCCAATCAAATTATTTCTAAATCTCCGCAACTGACAGATTTTGGAGCAAATTTTGGAAAACTAAAATGACGAAACTAAGCACTTTTTGACATTTTTTGACCAAGGAAGAAATTGTTTTTTTTTGCAAAAAAGGTTTTTTGGTGCTCTAAAAAATTTGGTCTGCCTTAATAATTTGATCAACGCTTCTTCAAAAAAGTCTTCTATGACTCACGAAAATCCAAGATCGGCCTTGAATCTGCTAAGTTCATTTCAAAAAATACAACTCTCTTACTTGAAAAAAATTTGCGTAAGCCTTTGTACCAAAGGATGTGTTTTCACTTGCAGCTCGAGGAATTCTGAAAAGGATACAATTATAACGATTCATTACATCAGCGATGCGAACCAGCTTAGATTGTGTGGGATTATATTGATGTTTTAACCCGAAATTTGGATTTGAACTTTCAAAAAGGATATTAAAAACCAAGGCTTGGTTGAGTCATTATAGTGAATACATTAAAACAAATGCGTCTATGTATCTAAAAAAAGAATCAATGTGAAAAAGATGGCGCGTCAAAAAGCTGAAAAATGTGAGGCTAAACATGTAGCTAAACACCTGGCTAGTTATGCCTCAAAACATCTTCTGATGTTTCTGTCACCAGGTAAAGTGTGGCCGGTGATAGAGTCAGGTGCCAAACTAAAAGAGTCCAAATTTTTTCGTACCATATCCAAACTGTGTTCCGTAATCATTTTAAACTTTATCCTTCTCCAATCAACAACTCAAATATTGAGATAAACTCAAACTTGTACAAAAAACTCGCTATCTTTTCAAAAAAAAATCATATACACTCAATTTATTGAGATAAACGCAAAGTTATACAAAACCTCACGATACTTTGCGAGAAAGTCATGGAACAATACTCTATTAGATTTAACGAAAGTGAAATTCTAAACTCGCAGCTAAATTTCAACACTTCTGAGAATGCTAGCCTTGACCTCAACTTGAACAAAATGTTTGAACCGCAATACGCTTTCTCTAGTCTTCAGATGACCAATTCAGCTATCACCAACAACGGTGACTATTTCAACCCAGATGCCAATTACAATTTCCCTGCCTTTGACAACGAAAATTCACTTGGATTCAATGATCTGGACACTGACTACCAAACCATTATTTCAAATAATCCAGAGCTGCAGTACTTTGAAGGAAATAAAGAAAACTTGGGAAATTGTCATCAGCCTAACTTCCAAAGCACGCATACCAGTCAAAACATCGAGACCGAAATCAATGATTTCTCGGAACTTCTCAAGTTTGAACCCCAGCCAGAGCCAGAGTTGGAACAGCCCAAACCTCAACTAGGTCTTAAAAGAAGTCGATATGATCTGGAACTCGAGGAACCAGTCGCCAAGAAGCCAGCAAATCTCCCGGATAATGTTATTATAGTTCCCATCTACACTAACAAAAAGGCCAGGGTGAACAGCGACGTCATCGAAAACAGCACAGAAAATGCCAACATAAGCAAACCTGCAGTTGCCGCATGTTTGGAAGTCCAGAGACCAGGGTCCTACAATGATTCGGGCTACATCGCCAGTTCACCGGAAAACCAGTTGATCGGCGGACAGGATGTGCTCCCTTCACCGGTGACGTTGTACGCGGGATCCCCAGCTGTTGTTCAAGAAGGAATCAAAGAACGAGTGGAGACGTTAATTTCGGGAGACTACTCGGACTTGATCGAGTTTCCAGGCATTGAGTTTCCTACTGGAGAGAGTAAGTTTCTTATAGAAATTAAAATATTACTCATCACCAAAATTTTGACGGGATTCCGCGTTTGAGATAATAAATTAGAGACAATCATTTGAAGCCTGCAGAATATGCATGTAAATTGACAAGGAGCCAAATCTTTCTATATTTATCTAATTAAAATATCAATATAACTAATCAATAGTTTTTTTTAGATACAGAGAATCAAGCTTTTGAGCAACAGAGTTTTTGCAATGAAACTTTGCCGCGAGTGCAATTCCTTGACAACAATCAACAATCCGCGCTCGTGCAATACATTGACAGCCACCAGCAAGAAACCACTTTACCGTATGCCGAAGAAATCTTGAAAGAAGAGCCCAAAGCTGTCGAATCTGCAAACAACGGACTATTCTCATCAAATGCTTCTCAAGCCACCAGCAAACCGAAGATCCCCAAAAACGAAAATGCCGAGGCCGACCTTTCAAAAAGACCATCAGACTCGTATGTCTCGATGATTGCCAAGGCGCTCCTGCAGGCTGAGAACAACGAACTGCCCATTTCTGGAATCTACAAATGGATCGAAGACACCCATTTGTTCTACAAGAAGGCGAAAGATGGATGGAAGAACAGTGTCCGACATGCTTTGTCGCTCCACGACGGGTTCGTCAAGTTCACCAAGAAAAGTTACTCTCGTGGTCATTTCTGGACTCTCAACCCTATGTACAAACCTAGATTCGAAGCCGGAGACTACCGAAAAATGAAGAAACATAATATGTTAAAATATCACATTCAGCCTCAGTGTAATAATAACCAGATGATGGCTGCTGCTAACCACTTGTACAGCCAAGGAGCAATCAACCAACAACAACCGTTGGGTAATATTACACAGAGCCAAAACTTTAATCAAATGTATCCCAATCAAGGCCAGAAATCACCTGTGTTGATCTCACCTACGCATGCTCACCCAAGCCAGACATTCGCTTACCCTAACACTGGATTCCCAGGAGCAATGTACCCTAACCAGATGCCGGGATACCAGCCCAATACGATTTCATACTACCCCAACCCCGCGATGTATACAAACCCGGCAATTATGAACCACTACATGATGCAAAACCATCAAGGTCAACAAGGTCAACAAGGTTCACACCTGCTGAACTACCAGAATGCAATCTACTCAGGAGGATTCCCAAACAACGGAAGTTTCCCGATGAATGGAAGCAATAACGTTGCAAATAATAATGCCAACAATGCAACCGGAGCTTTCTGGGGAAATCAAGGATTCTCATACTAAGTGCGATCTATCGACATCCAGATAACCAAGAATCTGGATTTAATAAACAGATAAACTTATTGATAAACTGTTAATTTAGCCATTAAATTTTATCCAAGGTGCTAACTCAAAGTTGCATTAAATTTTCAAAATTTTATTGACCTAGTTTAAAAACATATCTTTTACACGACTTAAAAAGTGGTGATTTTATTTGATTTTGCATGTTCATATTTAATTTTCAATTTCGATTAATTTCCAAATAAAATCGTTTCTTGATCTGAACTTTTTTAAACTTTACTGTATAAGAATTGTTAAACTAACGCCTCTGATTTTATTAAGGTCCGATCCTTTGACTGTCTTCCAAAAGATCAATAAAACAGACTGCTGTTTTTACAAAATTGTGTTTTCAAATTTTCATGGAATTATCCGCATTTACCAATCATAAAATAGAAAAACTATCAAAATGAAGTATGACAAATTGTGATAGTTTTGTTAGTTTTATAGTTTCAAGTTTCACGAAAATAAGCTATTAAATGATAGTTTCACTCTTATGCTTCTGAAAAAGTTTATACTAAAAAGCCAGTAATGAAGTAAAAAAACTTCCAACAAGCCGAACAAAATTTGAAACTAACACTATTAGTTAAAAGAGCAAAGTTCATCAAAAGATTCTTAATTTTTATTTTAAGTTTTCGATGAGTTAAAGTGGAAGGTATCAGCATGCTTCTCTTTTTAACTATTCACAATCTTACCAACGCAAAAACCTGATATTTTTGAACTTCACTATAATTGAAGTGACACAAAATGAGTCAAATTGATGATTTTTTAAGCGAATTGCAGAGGATCTAGTAAAAGCTTTTAAGCCTTTATTAGAAGAGTAGGTTTCATTAATTTCCTCATTATCGAAACTCAGTTAATTTGTTGAACGAAGCAGGGGCGCGTGTAGGACTTTCTCCGGGTGAGGGAGGGGGTAGATTTTCAAAAAACTTTCGAAAATTGCATTGAGCTTTTTTTAAGTCTACAGAATTGATTTTCTGAGCTATCCGAAATCACAATAAAGACCCTGTTTGATAAAAATTTCTGCACCGCATTTTGACCAAGTTTTCTGCATTTTTGAAAAAAAAAGGCCGAAAAAAGTTGCTTTTGGCACCTTGTGGAAAATTTTCACCAAAAAATTGCGCTGTTTTGGAGCACGCTTCCCTCAAAATTAGTAAAAACTGGCCCCTATAGAAAATTTTAGGGCCAGTCAATAAGATTGGATGTCTTAAAATATAACCATATGGGGAAATGGAATCTTAGGATCGGGGAAAATTTTTTTTTTGTCATCAACCAACTTTCAAGAGAAATTAACACGTTGACATAGTTAGATACTAAAACAACACGGCTCCTAAAAATCATAGTTCAGTTGTCCCAGAGAAAAATCATTTTATAGTTGCTTAGCTTAACGCTAAACATCGAAGTCTGGTATTTAAGTTTTGCACAAAACTCATCCAAAAGTATATCCAGACAAAAAAACTAAAACATGTGCTTGTGGAATCCAGTGACAGAAAGAAAATAAGAAAATTTGGCTGCGGAATCCACTGACAAACAGTGGAGTCTAGTGACAAAAAGATTAAACTGACCGCGGATTCCACTGATAAATGGTGGAATCTAGCGACTTTTAACGGAATGCACTTTCAACGGCCAAAACACGTTTGTCTGCAGAATCCACTGACAGAAAACAACTTGTCGGCATTTTGTGTAGGGATCGTTTGATTGTGGAATCTACTGAAAAAAGTCTCTAAAACACGCAAAATATGTGTCAGTAGAATCCAGACACGTGAATGCTCAAATATGTGCTTAGTTATAAAACCGAGCTTGGCATCGTAATGAAAGAAAAACAGATTAAACAAAAAGAATTTTTCTCTTATCAGAGCAATAATACAACGTACCTGATATAATTCCTATTAAAACATGAACAATTTCAAAAAAAAAATTGCGCATACGCAATGCCAAAATCATAGTGGTAGGTTTTGCGCTTGAAATGCAACATTTGTATTATCAATTAGTTGCCTCAATAAGGTGATTCCCTGCGGCAAAACTGAAAATCCCGTGTACCAAAACGTCGCAAACGTAATATTATGTTTTTTTTTTAATTTCGATCAGAAAGCTGTGCAATGCAATAAGTTATTATGAATTGCAAGTGCCCAGATTAGGTCAATTGCTGATTTGAAAATAGACTACATATAAAATTTTTAACTAAACACAGGCCAATAATTTAAATTACAACTTAAATTTATCTCGGCAGAAATAAAGAGCGTTAATGACGTGTTTTGACATGAACTGTTTCAATCTTGATACTTTTTTAATCTACCCAATTTAGTGCTAAATGATCTTGTTTGTAATAGTGACTATAAAGAAATTTTCGAACTCATTCCAGAACAATTTTTCAATGGCTTCTCTCAGTGGGAACAAAAACTGGTCTGAACATTTCAGTTTTTTTACGGCAAGGTATTCCTAATACCCCTACTCATTGACTCTCTTCGAAAATACAGGAAAATGTTCCCTCGCTTCCCATTATATCAAACAACATTACCTTTTTGCAGAAGAAATCTGTTTTCTAATTTTTCTTCGTTTACTTTTCAAACTATTTGCGTCAACTATTGTAGCAGTGATATTCTGTACTTGATGCGCAGCGAGCTGCTATCCTCTTAAAACAAAAACTTGATAGACAGAAGAACTTTGTAATTAGTTATTTTAATTATTCTTTCATTTAGCAAATCAATTTAAATAATTTTACAATTAAATATGATTTTCAAGTGTTTTCCTTGTAAATTATTTTGAATGCTTTACTTGCAAATAAGCTTTAAGAGACAGCAGTATTGTTTTGAAGTTAATGGATGAAATTGTCCTACAATAATTTTAAACTAAAATTTAGGACTTCAATTGTAAAAAAAATTGATTCGTATAACATAGATAGCCAGTTACTGTGCAAGTAGCGCAGAATGTTTCGACCATAGTTTTATAAAAAAAATAGCGTACAGTTTTTTCAAATTTTGAGTTTCATTTCTTCTGCGTGGCGTGATAAAAGAATACCAAAAAACTAAATTAGGCATTTTCGAAAATCATGGTAAAACGGCAAAATGGAGAACAATGCCTAAAACAAAAATAACAGTAAAACTCAAAAAATCAAATAAAAAAATTCAAAATTTTGATTTTTAAAATGGCGTTAAAAAATGCTAACACTCCTAATTATACTCGAATGAAATTAAAATGAAGTATAAACAAGCAATTGTAAACGGCCTAAGCTAAACATGATAAAGGATGCTCGCTCACTTTACTCGATTTTTTGTACATGAAAATACGTGAAAAAAAAGAAAACAAAAAAAAGAAGAAAACTAAAACACAAAACACCCCGAATACAAAGTTCCTCCCCGTTTTCAATGGTCCGAACAATGTACAATTTTTGAATCAAAAATGCTGTGAAAGCTCCGATTCAGTCTCTACAAGCAGCCAAGCATATTGTTGTTGCTACTATCTTTTTAAAATGCTTCATCTAAAAATGAAATTGATTGAAAAAAAAAAGAAATGGTTGATGTTGAAGAAGTAATAAATTTTCTAATCATCGTTTCATTGCCAAAATAAGTCGAACAATAAAAATTTTTCTGAAATGAATTGAATTTTTTTTGCAGCTGATGAAGTCGAAAATTTGAGTACGTACTTTAGGTGCATTTATATAATAACTATATTTTACAACTTGAGAAAAAAATCATTGCTGCTATGAAGACGCTCCGATCTTCGCTAAATCTAAGTCTCAAAAGCAAAAGTTATCAGACAAGTTCGGTTCGACACTAAGGAGATTTTTTTTCTAATTCATGTTTCGAAGTTCAATTTTGAATTGAAAAGGATTCACAATGATGTTCACTTGAACTAAGCCACCTCTCCATCAGGTATTCAAAATGACGCCAAAAACACCCTAAGCTAAGGTTCACACCCACTGAATGAATGTTCGGAACAAAATGGAAAAAAGATTGTTATTTGAGTTTCCTCTAAATTCATCAAAATTTCTGTATCCCCCAATTAGTTGTGAAGCCTTTTTTCAGTGTTTCAGTTCATTGCGCAGAGACAAAATGAGGCAATATTTCAAATACAACGTAAGACGAGCATTGCAAGCTAAAAAATGAAAACTCTACATCTACAAAAAATTCTCAAGTTGTTCTCGACCGATGTTCAGTTTCAGGAATAGACTTAATAAAGGACAATTTTGTCAAAAAAGCCAGCGAAAATCATTTCAGCAAAGCAAAAGAACAAGGGAATTAATTCAAAATTAACGTTGATAAATTTGGAAACCTGCGGAACTTGAGAAACTTAAAACAAAAAAAACAAACAGACAAAAGATAGTCCAAAAATTCACGTTTTCCGTTTCATGAACGCATTTCGAAAAAACCAAGTACTGCAGGGGTTCCACCTTCAGACCTTGTAACCCAAAAGCATACGCTTTTCAACTATATCAAGTTATTACAATGTCTGCAAGTTGTTAACATTCTATCATAGAAAAAGTTGCAAATCCTACAGGTGAATTTTTTGGAGGCAAGTAGTCTAGTTCCCAATTACAAGTCGATTGTTTTCACAAAGGAAAGAATTTAAAAGCTTTTGCGACGTATTACATTTTTTCAAATCATGCACTTTCAGGTAAGAACTAATTCTAAACTCTTCTTTGAGTTTCTCCGTTTTTGATAAATCTAACTAACTTTAAGAAACTTAATCTGAAGATAGCTTAATTGTTTTGGCGGAATAGTAACATAAGCAAAACGAATCTATGCTTTACTTACAAACAAACGTACAATAAATATTGTGTGTATGTATTGTGTGTTCGCATATAAATTATATTGTGTGTAATCTAATTAAATGTATATTTAACACAGGCGAAGTTATACTTCGCTTAAACCAGCAAAAATATGACCGATAACGCTACTGGGAAAAACTGAATGGGTAAAACTTTGAGTCAACAAAATTTCATAAGTAGCGCACGTCAATTATGAGTCATAATTGTTAAGTGACGCAAGCTAATTATGATGCATTAGCAGTACCAGTCAATTTGAAAAAAAGGAACTTACCTACTAACATGCTTCAATTTATAGAGCGGACGCATTTTAACTAGTATACGAAAAATTTCATAAAAAACATTTTACCCTGGCAAGGTTCGAACCCGCTTATTTTGCTGCTGGTCTCCTTCCCTACCTCTACGCTACAGATCCATGATGCTTTAACGCTTAAGTTCTATATGTAATATAAAAGTCTGCGTTAATATCCTTAGTATTGGCAGTACTTAATCGCTGGTTATTTATTTTATGCATATACTGAAATAAAAGAGCACTTTCAATAGAGCGCTAAAATTTGCGAAGTAGGTTGGAAAAAAAGAGTTCGTAATATTACACAAGTTTTGCGTGTGTAAATAGCTTGATAAAAGTAAATTTTTCGGTGTATTTAAAAAAAGTTTGCAAAAATTGATATCGTTGGTTGCAGGTTAACATAGCCAACAGATAGCTGGAAAAGAGCCCATGAATGCAAGGAAGCAAAAAAAACTGACGTGTTTTTCGAGAAAACTTCAACTTTCGATTTTCAGACAATATATATGGCCTTAAAGCTCTTCGAACTTCAAAAGCAACTTATATTTTTAATAAAAATTAAATTCCACGTTTGAAACTAGAAATCGATCACGTTTTTAGCGCCATTTCAGCTTTCATAATTGCAGAGTGCATTTTGCATACCTTCTGGCAATCGAACTTGAATTGCACTCAAAAATTGCATATATACCTAATTGTAGCCATGCGTGCATATATTATTTTGAATACACTTTTGTTATAGGAGCATTGAAAGACTTTTTTCTAAAGAAAAACGAAAAAAAATCATCACGACCTAGATAAGAGCCTAAACTACGTTCATCGACTCTTAAAAAGTCTCCGACTATAAATACCCAGTTATAGTAATTCTAAAAACCTATTTTTTTGTAAACTGTCATTCAATTTTTGGCTCTTTTTCCTTTTCCCCCCACCTGCAAATTTTTATATTTGAAGTTAGTGTCCACTTTGTCCGATTGTCATTAAAATTGACATGCAGGCTAATTAGGCCATGACAAACATATTTGATCTTCATAATTAACCTTGTAAAACCACTCTTTAGACCATAAAATTCATGTTTGAGTGAGGTGGGGGGGGGGGGGGGGGGAAGGAAAGAGACCCCAATTTTTTTTGCTATTTGCTTTTAGCTCTTGGAAGAAGTTACTAGCCTTGCAGTTAGCAATATCTGAACTGCAAATCAATCATAATTTTAACTATTGTGCTATAATCTGGAGAAACTTGACTTCTAGTTAGCAATTGAATTCAACGTCAACAAGATGAGTCTCTAAATCGTTCATTGACAATAAAAATGCAAAATAGCGCCTGGAAAGAAAACTCTTTGAAATATCTGCAGCTAAGGTTGCGCTAACCAATCGAAGAAAACGCATGATACTGAATCCCTCACCTATGAAATTGAATACAAAAAAATTAAACCGAAAAATGTGCACTTTAGTTGGCAAAAAAAACACGCATTTGGCTTGGCTTGAACCAAGATTCGGCCAAAAAAACTAACTTAATGAATGTCTCTTTTCTGTTAGGAATGAAACTAGAAAAGACTTTTGGAAATTGTATATTCATTCAAAATGATGTATCACATATAAAAAATTAAATAATTTGCTTGCTTTAGATTTAAATGAACACAATCATTCCATAGCTAACTATGCTAAAATGATAGAAATATTAAGGTTTTATCACGCATGAGACTCGCATTTCTTGATTATCAAGTCAGTAAATGCAGTAAAAACAGGTTTACGTCTATATCAATCTCGGCATTATGCAACTTTATCGTGGCCATTTCAAAATTTCCGAAAATAACATTTACAATTCTGCTCTACATCCTTTAAATTTACAAGCTTGATTACATTTTTCTGATTACAAGGTTCATTCTAATGTTCTATTCAGATTTAAACTTCGATTCGAGTAAAAAAAATGGGAATGCGTAACTTACAGGTCAAAATACAGGTAAAGTAGAGTACCAAATGATAAATAATTTATGCGACATTCTCATTGATAAATATTAACAAACAGTAGGTGGCACGCCGCGATCTATAAAATTGGGAAACAATTGAGAGTATTTGTCACTTTGATAGCACTTCGCTGAGAAATATCCATGGAGCTAACAGGATATCCATGGAGAAAACAGGCTTTCAAAACCACCGGTGGATAGAAAACCCGGAGTACTATAAAACTGCACGCATCATAGATACTAGCATCCGGACAAGCTAAACCAGTCAGCCAAAAAAAAATAACTCAGTAGCCAAACGCAGCATTCTTCGGTACTGCAGACAAAAAAAGAAGCTAACATGTATAGTTTTGGAATGTCTTGGCTTCGATATCAGTTTGTCTCCACTTTGCATTGAATTCTTTAGTTGGTGAGTTCCTTCAGATTCTTCAAAAAGTTCTCTGGAGTCATTACGTGGCTGGATCCGATGAGGACTTCGAACTTTTTGGATCCCTTGAAGGCGTCGGTGACCTCATAGGCACACCTCGTCTCAGAGTAGCACATGCCACCCAAGATGAACACTATAAGGCGGGGTCCCGCATGTCCCATATCTTTCTTATCACGGTGCCACTGACCATAGCCTCGGGCACTGAAATTTAATACAGTGAAACACCAGCGCACTCAACGTCTTAGGGAAGGTCAGATAGTTCAGAAAAATCTATTGCAACTTTTTTTTAGATCTTGCTCATAAAGAAAGTCAAATTGATCAAATTTAGAGTTAATGATTTTGATCATGATTATTTAAATATGTCATTACATACCTCTTAGCGCCACCACCTCCAACCATGGGTCCCTTGCCGTCAATGAACGGGAACTGTCGGGTGTCTAGTTGATCGTTGATAGCGTCCTATAACATCATTAACTCTCAACCTCGGTGATTTTGTTACATACTTTGAGCAGGGCTACGAATGACAAATAATTTTGAGACAGATGCAAAGCGGAGCTTCGCAACACTTGCTATATAGAGAAAGAATAACTATTAATTAAGAATAATATCTAATTTGATTAGTTTTCCACCTTCATTGAAAACTGCATTCAAATTATACCGGAAGAATAAGCTCACAACGAAAGACAGTCTCGGTCAAAACACACAAAAACATAAATAAATGCCGACACGAGCGTCAAATCATTCCAAATTTCGAAATAACTGCAAAACATATGCGCAACGAAAAATAAGAAAAATACTAAAATCAACATCATAATTATTTTCAAATTCAAAAAATTGTAGAAGCAAATAGCTCCCAATTAATCTTGGAAAGTATTTGGCCCATTTTTATACACAAGAAAAAAAAATTACAGGAAATGAAACAAATTTAAATGAAATATTTGACTTCAATAGCATTTTTTTCGTTCAAAAAGATAGCAAGTACAAAATACCAATTAGGTTCAAGCTTGAACCTGGTAGAAAATACATATAGACTGAACAATGTTAAGGAAAAATTGATGGTCAACAGAACTTTCATTAACCGGCAGAATAAAGAAACAGTAAACTTCATGAATCAGTGATTTGAACCGGAAGGGTATGAGAAAGGAAACATTTTTGGTAAACCCTTCAATACCGTTCCAATACCAGTTAAACAAATGAACAAAAAATTCATTTATGCTTTTTACCTTAATGAAACAAGGGCCGATAAAAAATGCGTGGTGTAATTTCGCTGGGAAATCTGAAAATTATAATCCACCTTCGAAACTAGAAGTTGACCAGGTTTTTCGTGATCTTAACTCTTGGAAACGAACTGAACCTAAAAACAAAACTTCAAACCGCGAAAAATCAAAATTGAGCGTGAACAAAATTTGATCGTGAGACATTTTCCCGAAAAAAAACAAAAAAATCACTAAGAGTCTTCACTACGTTTATTACCCTTAACAAAGAAGTTAAAAGGAACAAAACTCAAAAACAGCCAACAGGCAATTGTAAAACTGTCAATGAAAGCGAGTAAGAAAAAAGACATTGTTTTTTTTTGAAAACTTCAACCTTCGAATTTCAAAGTAAGCAAACATATAACCTTAAGCTCTCAGAGATTCAAGAACAAATTATGATTGCAATTTTTATAAACGCAATTTGAGAAAACTGGTTCAATAGGCAACGCTTTTATTCCAAAGGAAAATCTGAAAAGTAAATTCCACTCGAAACTAGAAGTCATTTACGTTTTTCCGCACAATTTACAATTTCGTGATTGGAGAGCGCAATTTACTTAAATTTTAGCAGACTTTTTGTCTTAAACTCATAAATATACCTAAGTGCATTCATAAATGCATTAAAATCTATGAATGCACTTCTGTAGTTATTAGATCATTTCCCTGAAAAAAAAAAACAAAAAAAATCATCAAGTGCTACATACAAGTCTTCACTACGTTCGTCGACTCTTAAAAAGCTTTGCAGTGATCCTAAAATCTTCATTCAATAGCATGAAAAGCTTAAAGCATCAACAAAAACTCTAATAACCTATCGTTATAAACAATGGCTTGAGCAGGCTTGAATTGCTTCAATGATCTCAATTTTAAATTTGAAACAAGGATTTAATTGATATGACCAACTGACAAAACATAACTAACAGAAAAATGTAAAACAAATAACTTCAGAAAACCGAAAGTAAAACGATTGTCATTTAATTTTCGAAAAAAGATTATATCACATTACAACTCTTTCTTTCAAAAACTATTATGATTCATCATTTTTCATAAAACTCATCAAGTACGAGCAAACAAGACCAATAGGCAATTTTTCTGATCTAATGGGAAATTTAGTAATTAACATCTGTTTTTGAATTTGAAATTCATTCAACTTTTCCGCGCCATTTCAACGTTTTTATTCGAAGCATATCTGCCTTTCTTTTAGTAAATGAATTTGAAAATTAAAACAGTGAGAACGGAGAAAAAATTAACACCACCTAAATAAATGACTTCCCTACGTTCATAGCTACTCAAATAGAACGGAAACTAAACCGATGAAAATTGAGACGAAGAACAATCAGCAGAATTTAGTGGAGGATCGAAATACATATACAGCGAGAAAAAAGGTACGACAGAGAACCCGAACCTGAGATTTTTTGACCTTCAAGCAGGCGCTTTACCTCTACACTAATATTGCAGCTGTTTGAAGATAATTGGGGTTTCGTTATAAATCAAGGTCAATTTCTTTTAGATATGTAGAAAAAAAAATTGTTCAATGGAAATAAGTCTAGTTGCCGATAACAAAACGCTTTCTCTAGAAAACATGAATGATCAGAAAGAAACCAAATTTTTCTATGCCAAATTACCATTGGGTTGGGAGAAAAAATCTCGATCGATTCTGTTAATAATTACATAACTTAAATTTGACGTCGTTTTAAGGCTAAAGTTTAGACGAACAGCTCATTGCTCAGAATTAATTACGAATTACTAATTTTAAACAGCCGAGTAAAATGAGCAAATGAAAACTACTTGCCTCCATGATATCCTTCACATAAGGAGTCCACCTGGAGTGCTTGAATGTGTTCTCATCAATCCTATTCCTCCTATCAGGATGTCTGTACTTCTTCTTCACCCCTGCTCCCCCTGCACCTCCCATTGCGTCATTCACCACCGGAATTCCCAGGTTGGCCAGATTATGCAATATCACACTATTGCTGGTCGGGATACTGGCATGCTGCACTAGCTTGTCCAGGTTCTCAGTCGAGATACCTGACAAATATGATTCAAGTTACTTTATGACTTCAAGGAACCCTTTTAATATGCAGTCCGATAATCCTGTTCAGAAATTAATTAAATTATGTTAAAAGCAGTCTACGAGCATTTATGACGAATAACTGGTTATAATTTTGATTTTTATCCAGATGAACAATTAGTATTTTTCTAGATTAAAATCAGCATTTGGTTTCAATTAATTGATTTTCAGTGAAGACAAGTTATATTTTACCTTCCCCTTCATCAACTGAAAATAAACATTATTACAAAATACTTGAGAACTAAATACACTAACTATCAAACACTTTCAGTTATACGTTGACTTTCCTAAATTGAAAACTATCACCAGATCGAGTCTTATACACAAAACAATAAAGCATTACAGATTCTAACATAAAAAACATTCTTCGAACACTCTTTTGGCACTTCTGTTACCTAGTTTGGAGTGTATGTAGAGTAGGATGATGCGTATCTTATCGTTGGAGGAGACATTGCTGTCTAGTAGGATGGGCACGACGTTCTTCATGTGGTCCTTCACCCTCTCCCCATCCGCATCCGATCCCATCGCCAGGTCCTGCTCCACCAGACACAGTTTATCCGCCCTATATATCACAGCATAATATTAAGTCAAGCAACAACAAACACTGTTAGAAAGCATCTCAGGCGATCTTTTAAACAGTTAGAAAACTTCTTCACAAAAACAAAACAAAATTTGAAAAACAGCGCATGTGATTTTGCTGCTTATGTCAAATCACACGACTAAGCAAATCTCTCTTGCCAGAAAATTGATCCCCATAAGTTAAGCATGAGTAAATTTATCTACACTTGCCGATGCCGTTTTTAATTAATTTTCGAGCAGCGATTTTTTGGAAGCTGTCTTTTGTTGCGAGTTGGAGAAACTTAAAATCTAGATGCATAATTCGTGGATTTTTAGTTGTTCGTCTGTTTTAACTAATCAGTCTTTTTGGCAGTTTTCGCGGTACCGATAAGATGACCTTTTGCCTTCCACTTGCCTGTTTGTGAAGTGTTTCATGCAGTCCTCCGCCAGTGCCATATGCGTTCCATACTTGGATAGTTCCTTCTGGTACTGGGGCATCTTCTTCAACATCGCACTCAAGTCCTTCACTGTTGTCTTATCGCCCGGACTGCTGCCAGTGTTGATCCTCTTGTTCATCGAGAACTCCTTGAACATCTTGGTGACCTCCTGAGTCACTTTTGCAATGTGTTTGTGTCTCAGTTGCACCCACACGTCATCATTCTCGTTTAGCCACACCTGCTTGGTGCTGTAGTCTCCGCTGCTCGAAGAAGCCTCGTATCTGAACAGTCTCAACTTTCGAAATTCAAAGAGAAAAATAGATGGCGTTGAAGCTCTTTGAATTTCTGGAACAATTGATGATTGGTACTTTTTGAAGAAAAAAAAACAACAACCCAATACGAGAAAACTGGATCAATATGTATTTAATTGTAATTTTTATTTCTCTAGAAAATCTGAAAATTAAATTCTACTTTTGAAAATTAAAGTCGACCACGTTTTTCGTGACTTTTACATTTGGCTGTTCGATAGTGGAGTTTGCCTTCCGTTTAACAAAAGAAACGAACTGAACTTGAAAAGAAATCAAAGTCAAACCGCAAAAAAGTATATTTGAGCCTGAGCAAGTTTTTCATACAGACGAAATTGAGCTTTGCGCCACTTGCCATACAAAACAAGCAAGCCGCTAAGTCGGAAAAAAACTAAAAATAACGAAAAAACTAGATCTATCAAAATGAATCAAGCTTTATTTAAGCATAAGTCGGGGACAGCTGCTAAGTCGGACAAAAACTGAAAACAATGAAAAACTAGATCTATCGAAATGAATAAAGCTAGTTTTATGCTTTATATAAAAAGCCAAGACAACAGAATGAGGAATTAGCATAAGAAAAAAATTACCAAGCGGTAACAAAGTCAAAAACACCTTAACAGCAACCCTCTAAGTCGAAAAAAAAAGAAAATCTACAATACTTCAGACTTACATTAAGTCCCTCTCAAAACACACACATTAAACTTTAATTGCTCGTCATATGAAACATTATGAGGCCACTAAGCTGATATAATATAGGCTGAAACCTATCAAGCCGAAAAAAGAAATAAATAAAAACAAAGCAGAATAAAAGTCCAAAAACATGAAACATTTGCTCGTCATATGAAACATTATGAGGCCACTAAGCTGATATAACACAGGCGGCAACCTAATGAGCCTAAAAAAAAATAAAAAACAAAGCCGAATAAAAGTTCAAAAAACTAATTAAATCACAAAATACACTCACGCATATACAATTTTTTTTTGCTCGTCGAAAGATGCAATATGAAGCCATAAAGCCGATTTACCTTCTAATAAGTTTTTTTTAGCATTTTGTGCGATCTAGAGGGGAGCATAATAACTACGTTTCCATTAAAACAACTCAAAAATAGGACACTAAGCCGATAAAATATAAGCTGAAATCATTTGGGCAGAACAAAGTCTAGGCTAGTAAAATTACAGACAGCAGAAAAAATCAAAACACTAAAAGAAACTACAAGGTTACTTGCATACAAAAAAAACAATTCTACGATTTGGCAACTAAGCCGGCAAATCATAAACAGATAAATAATAAGTCGGCAATTTTTTTGAACTCGAATAATTACCGTTTGAAAAAAAAAACAGTTCTCGGAGATTCAAACCCAGGACCTTTGCCGTACCAGACGCATTCGTTAACTCCACACCAAAAGTGCCGGAGTCGCAAAGAAATTAGAACATATTATGGACTGAACCTAAATTTAACATTTATAACCTTGACTACTCTGTAAACAAAGTTATTTATAGGAAAAAGTCTACTAGCCGATTTGAATACACTACGTTCATCGACTCTTAGAAAATGAAATCAGTTTGGAATTCACGATTTAAGCACTTGATCGCATTCAGTAATTTTTCGTTAAATGATTCAATTATTATGTACACACTTTACTGTTATGGATACTGCATAAATAAGAAGACATTGATGATATCAGATCGTTTTTGACAATTAGAGTTTTTTTTTCATTTAATGCATCGATAGACCGGATACCCAACGTGTAGCTCAAAACTTTTCTTGACCGTTATGTTCTGAGTCACCAAACAACAACCTTCGAAACAATTGTACCCATAACCAAATCTGGTGGCACTTGAGAGTCGATTTGGACTATCCCCAAACGTATATGAAGAAAAAGGCGAACCTTGTCACCACTTACCCTTTTGGTTTTTCAACTCTCATTCTAAACTCAAAGTAAATGTTTTGCCAAAATCACATACACTAGGCTTGAAATTGTAACACCGTAACCTAAACATCAAAACTAATCGTGCTATAAGCCAGAAACTACAGGTTATTTGAATCGATATTCCATTTTGCAATGCAATTTAGCTTATCAGCAAAGGGTTCAGAAGTAGGGCCTAGAACCTGCCAAATTTTTCATAATTAAGAAAAAGCATAACTGTCATTTTGAACTAACGAGTAGGTGTCATTCTCGATGTTAACCAAATCGTAGGCCATGGCCTGGAATGTGAGTTCATGTAGCAGAGGAGACACGGGGTCGAATCCTCTGTCCAAGATGATCAGCTGGGATTTGCCTTTCTCAGGTCCTTCTCCCATCGAGGGGTCATCAGCCTTGTACTTTCTCAAGAGGTCACTCACCTGTTGGGCCACTTCAGCGCACAGCCCATTCGGGTCACTAGAAAAGATATCGCAGTGATGATTTCAAATTTTAGGGCACGAAATATTTCCATTATCTCGTATTTTCTTGAACAACATCTTACGGGAGTTCAAAAATGAAGAAAATATTAACTTTTTCTAGTAATTTCACTGAATATGGTAGTAGGCAGACGTTTGGAAAATTTGACCTTTTTCAGATTCATTTAACGCTTTCCGTTATGAAAAATAACTCGACGCTACTCTTTTGCCTTACATTCGATGTCTGATGTGGGGAAACTCGCTCAAGGTTGCACATAGAGTGGCGATCTGGGCAGCTACTCTCTCGAATGCCTTGCTCCTTGACTCCTTCGACCCATGGGGAGAGTATGCGATCCCAAAGATATCCTGTCTGTCCAATGAGAACACCTGTCAACAATTACAACACACAATCAGGTTACTTTACTGACAAATGTAACAGATTATATACAAAAAAATACATCATATACTAGAAGAGTTGTCATATTCGTTTTATAACTTTGAAAACATTTTGAAGACAAGAAGACTTATGGATTGTGATTATGACAAATTAAATTATGTATATTTTTTGAAATTATGCATATTTTTGATCTTATTTACATAGTCTCCATTTTTCTGCCATTTAGCTAAGCACTGATTTCGCCCATTGATCAGCCTACAAGCAGATTTTCAAAGCATCACTAAAAACAGCAGCGGTAAGAAAAGCGATCTGTAAGCATCTATCTACGCCATGAAGATAATTTTACTGCCCTCCTCTTTGGCAATTCCCCATTAATACCCTGCACATGACTCTCATAACAGCATCGTATCACTGGTTAGTGAAGTAGGAAATGTCACCAAAAGTGTTCAGGTAGAAAATAGATAAGCCCTCAGAACAGGTCAAAATGAGGCGCAAAATGCGGATTAGAGCAGGATTGTAAAATGGAAGAGCCAAATTTGCCTTCGTCTCTAAAATGAAATGCAACGATAAACGACTGGAGATAACTGTTCTAGTTAGCCGCATAAAATAACTTAAAAGAAAAGAAAACAGCAGTGTCTTAGCGGGGGACGAGCATGGCCATAGCAGAACACCTCAATCTCTCCGTCCACCTCAATTAGTTCTGCGAAAACTTTCTCAAAGTTTCAGTTTTTGCAATGACACGTCTAAGATTGAACAGACTCAGAATTGATCCTTTAGTGAATCACACACCCATTATCATTATAATCGACTGAAAATCATTTAAAGGGTGCTAACAGTAGCTTACCGTGGGGCTGCCTCCTCTCCCTTCAAATCTGACTCTTAAACTTGGCCCTTTTTCCCCACCTTCAAATTTTTACAAGTAACTTTTTGTTCACATTGTCCGATTGTTGCAAAAGCTGGTATTCGAATTAATTGGGCCCTGACAAACATATTTGGTCTTCATACATAACCCCTCGTTATACCGTAAAAAATGATGCTTCTTTGAGGGGAGGGGGGAAGACTAAAATTTTTCTTAAAACCAAACTATACTAGCTTTGAAGGCGGGAGCGCGCGCCGAAAAAAAGTAACTTTTTGGTCAAAACCTTCTAACTGCTCAGCTACCGAATAATTGTCTGCAGAAAATTACCTGTGGCGAAGAACATTTTACGATGAACGGTCATTCAAAGCTTTCGACGGAGCACGAAAAATTCGAAATGATTGACCAAGAAAACCCTGCACATCACTCAAAAAACCCTGCACAAGCCACTAGGCGACATAACTGGAAGCGCAGAGTTTTAAACAGAAGCAAGGCGCAATAGGTGCAATCAGGAAAAGTAAAATAAGCCTCGAATGAGTAAAAATTCTGCTACGTCTCGGACTCGATCTGCGACCTACAGATTATGAGTCTCACGCACTAACCACTCAGCCACAGACGCTTAAAAAATCACAAACACTAGCCATAAGTAAAGCAGAGAACAGATGCTATGAAATTTCCAACGCTACAGATCGTGATTGTAGCAAAAGTGCCATCAAACAAGTGAAAACTTTTTATGTTCTTTTATTTGCGAGTTAAATTGAAAAAAGAAGGTTCATCTAAAACACTACGCTCGATAGTGTAGAAACAAAGCTGATTTGAATTAAACGGACAAAACGAACGTTGGCAAATTTATACGCGTTTTTCTCAAATTGGGAAAGATAAGATAAAAAGTGAAGAGAACAGAATAGAATTATTATGGTTCAATTTATTTATCTATCAAAAAGGGAGGCCAAATTTTCCCCTCAATTTGAATCATTGAATCATTACGGCTTTTAAAAATTAATTAAGAATTACGCTGAAACTACCACCTTAAATGATGAAAAACTTATCAAAAGAAGCCTCTTACACAGTCCAATAAAACTATAGCAGGCTAAAATCTTGAAGCTGTATAGGTGAATATATTTCTGCTTGATAGCCAAAAAAGTAACTTTTCACTATCTAAAACTCGAAATCTTGCTTAAAAACAAATTTCAATTACTTTGCGCAAGTTTTTGGAGATTTTACCCTTGTATAACTTTGTTGAGCTGTGTATGAGGCTTCTTTTGACATAAGTTTATCATCAATTAATTTGGTAGTTTCAGCGTAAACCTTGGTAAACTAGAAAAAAGTTTAAGCATGATCCATTTTTCGGGCAAAATTTTTGTTGCGAATTTCGAAAAACGAATTGCACTATAAATATAGCCAACACAAAATTGGAAAAAATGAACGCAAGGAAACTTAAAAAAAACTGACTTGTTTTTTCAAGAGCCTTCAACTTATGAATTTCGAAGAAAAAAATAGATAGCCTTAAAGCTCTTTGAATTTCTAGAACGATTTATGATTGGCGCTTTTCTGATAACATAAACCCAACTAGAGAAAGCTGGATTAAATGGTAAAGTTTTTACTCCGCTGGAAATGTAAAAATTAAATTCCACTTTCGAAACTAGAAATCGTTCAGATTTTTTCGCGCCATTTCCACGCTCGTATTTGGAGAGTGCTATTTGCGTGACTTTCAGCAGATGAATTTCAATTGAACTAAAAAAAACAAATACCTAAGTGCATCAATTTCCTGAAAAAAAAAACAAAAAAAAATCAGCAAGAACTATATGAGAGTACTAACTACGTTCATTACTCGCAATAATTCCGCTGAAACTCTAAGCAACTTTTGTTCCCAATACTTTTGTCTAATCTCAACCCAATTTGAGAAAAAAAACGCGTTTGAAGTTCCAAATTTTAAACTAAGCAATTGTTCCCAATACTTTTTGTCTAATCTCAACCCAATTTGAGAAAAAAACGCGTTTGAAGTTCCAAATTTTAAACTCTAAGCAATTGTTCCCAATACTTTTTGTCTAATCTCAACCCAATTTGAGAAAAAAAACGCGTTTGAATTTCCGTTCAACAGAAAACATTCCAATTCTTGGTCAAAAAAGAAAACTGTTACACGTCACTGGCTCAAACCTGAAAAAAAACTGACAAATTGAGCTACTCTAATGCCAAAAAAAACAACATTTTGGTCGAAATAGCTTCAATCTGTCACATGAGACTTGGCAGGAAAAGATGAGCGCATGGAATATAAAAATGGAAAATCAAAACAAGCGCGCCTCCTATACACCTACACTGCTACAAGGCTACTGTTGTACATGGTACATGCACATATGCTTCCATTTTGAGAGAAAGAGAGGAAAAGAGTGAAGCTTCAAACAGCCTCCAGTCTTTCCTCAGAAATAACCTTTTCTACCTGCAGTCCCATTGCGCTGCATTTTTCATCGCTTCATTTATCCATCGTATTAACAAATACAGTCAGTGTAATACCGTGTTCACTTGCTGCCTTTTGCTGTCCTATTCTCTGTTTTCATACCACAACAGTGCTACCTTTTCCACAATTTCTACCATAGGTCACCTGCTAAGCCATGTTTATCCAGATATGAACACATTTCCGCAATAACGTGAGGACACAGTCGATTTAATATTTCAAGCTCAGTCAGGAAATATATATCTAAATTCCAAATAACAATGCATCTAACAAATAATCAATATCATCGAGATTTTAAAAAGCCCAAGAAGCCAAGACTACCAAAAAATAACTGAGAAAAATACGGTATGAATTATTTATTAGCTTTAAAGCTCCATGTCAATTTCATTTTAGAATGAAAATCTTGTTCCTTGGTCTAAGGATTTAGAGGACATAATTTTTATGAAAAACGAAACCAGCGTTCTACAACTGCATTTTTTGTATGTCCAAATTATAGACAACATGATCCTTCTTTATAAAAAAAATACTTTCAATACTTTGACATCGTGAGCTGTCGTTTCTCAAAATCAAGATTTCCCTCTAAATGGACACCATTGCGATCTTAAGTTTAGCCTCCACTCTATTTTAAATGAAGATTTAAAAAATGAAAATCTGAAATGAGGAAGCATTGCCAACATACAGTAGGAAAAAAGTCCATGAACGCAAGTAAACATAAAAAAACTGATTGTTTTTGAAACAACCTCAACTTTTGAATTTCCAAGAAAGAAATGAACAGAACTTAAATGAAATCAAAGGAAAAACCGCGAAAAAGTAAATTTGAGCCTGAACAAATTTTACAACTTTTCCTGAAAAAAAACAAACAATTCATCGCGACCTATATAAGAGTCTGAACTACGTTCATCGACTCTTAAAAAGTTGAAACATTAACTTTTCTTTTCAGTTAAACGTTGCAACGAGCTCTTAAAGAGTAGTCAGCTGGCATGCATTAGTTTGATATTTGTTCACTTACATTTGATTCGTAGGGTAGGAATGCGATGTTGATCTCCTTGACTGTCTTGGTGGCCTTTCTGAGACAGGAAGTCTTGCAGATGCGGTTGAACTGGTCATCCGAGCAGGCCTCCAAGAAGAAAATATGACACGCCTTGTACTTCTGGTGCAGGCTATCTTGGAAGTCCATACACAGCAGGTCAATACTCTGCGAACAAAGAACTGAGAGATTATGACGGCCTATAGATATCATTCGTCATTTAATCTCCTTTAAACAAGCTCCTCGGTGCTTTTAAATTGAAGCAAATGCTCCACCGAATGAGTACTTAAATTTGCAAGATTTGGGTTGGAAAAAAAAGTTCACACACAAAGTGAACAAATACCTAAGTGCATGAATATTTTAAGACTTTTTCCTGGAAAAAAAAACAAAAAAAATCAGCAAGACCTATGTAAGAGTCTTCACTACGTTCATTACTCTTAATTAAGCTTGATCAAATTTAAAGACTTTTTCCTGAAAAAAATCACGTCATTTACGATATACCCAAAGCGTAGTACTGCAAGCTAGTGAATAGAAAATTAGAGGGAAACTACTAATAAGACACAGTGGCGAAGCGAAGCACTTATGAACCGATACTAAATTAGCACAGTCTTTTTTTAATTTCGAAAAACGACAAATACAAAAATCCCAAAGAATTGTCTCAAATGATGTTCAATTTGAGGAAAGCACATTCATCACCGGTGATGAAGTTTTTAGAAACATTTGTCGAGCGGCAACTAAGTTGGCGAAAATTGAGTAAACGCCCATTGAGCGAAAACTGAGTAAACGACAAAATTGTTTGAGCTACAAAAGGAGACAGAATTAGGACACTTAGACGATACAACTTATTCCGAAACTATACACACCGAACCAAGCTTTTGAGTGAAAAAAAACAAAGGGAAATTATAGAAAGTCAGGGGCTAGTAGATTTGCTAATTTTATGAATAAATCAAACCTTTTCTTTTTTTCAATTTCAATGAAATTATATACAGATCAAAAAGCCCTACTGAGCCGACAAAAGATATATAGACAAACGATAGGTCCGGAAAAGGCCAACAATTCATTTTAACATGAAATTTTTAGTTTGAAAAATTAGGTCCTGGCCGGATTCAAAGTAAGCATCATTGTCGTCCCAGGTGTGGTCGCTATCTCTAGGCTTAGGGTGTGAACACGCTAAGAAACTTGAATTCACACAGAGGTAAAGCGGAGTTTTGCATCACTTTCGATACAAAGAAAGCGTATCCCAATTACAGAAAAACAATTGAGAAACAAAAGTAACAGCATTCATGACGCTTTTCGTATTTATGGAAATGACCCGTTCCGAAAAAAATGTGGGTAGAAGCCCATTGAGCGGAAAACAAAAAAAAGTATTTGCGGTCATAAAAAATTTAACGCGGTTAAGTTTTAACTTTTCACTTTTATACCACATTCAACCTGAACTGTTTGAAAAAATGATAATAAATTTCTGCCCGTCGAAAGATATAAAATAAGTTAACTAAGCCGAAAAATCATAAGCCGAAATCATTTAGGCCGAATAAAGCTTTTAAGCAAAAAAAAACAAAAAGAAAAACTACAAGTCAGAGTTAGTAAACCTACGAATTACAGGAGTTTATCAGCAATACTTGCAACTTCATTGAAAGTTATTTGCAGCAAAAACAAATCTATTATCAAGTAACAAGTAAGCCAACAAAACAAACAGACAAACGAAAAGCCGATCATTAATTTTTTTTCCAGAAAAAAACTCTCAATTTCATACATGCTGAAAAAGAAAAACAAGAACAAAGTCCGGCCAGATCTCAAACCTCAGATCTTAGAGAAAAACTTGATTGTCTTATCACTAGACCAAGTGGGAACGAGCCTGAACTTTGACAAGTTTCAATAAAAAAGCAACTTATATTTCAACAGATTTTCTATTTGGAGAAAATATGTACAGAAACAGTCATCGACATTAAATAAGACTCCATAAAAAAGACTCCTCCGTAGCTCAAACCTGGGTTAACTCCCAATGAACCAAAATTGTTGACAAAAACAATTGAGGTAAATCAATCATTTAACTAAAAAAAAAGCAAAAGACACTATTAACTATCAGATTCAGTCTGTTTAGATTTAACCAAAAACTGTTTAGATTGAACCGTTATAAAATACCACTGGTAGCCATTGTCGATTGAATTGTACTATTGCTGTTGGATACTGAATTTAGACGTCTTAAATTGGCCACCCCTACTTCACTGGCTGATATGTACTTGAATATCAGCCAGTGATACTTGATATGTACTTGAAGTGAGTATTAACTACTTTAACTTGTCTTCAGCTAGTTAATTCAATTGCCCACTTTTTAAAATGGCCTCCTAATTAGAGCTCTCCGTTGCTTGCGTTAAAACAAATCATTGATCAAGTATAATTATAAATATAATAATGGTATTCGATATTCATATAAGTATTGCACTACGTTACGACCATTGGCCTCAGATTTGGTAGCGTCAACAGACATGTGGATAAGTATCAATGAACGCATCGAAACAGAAAGAAAAACTGTTTTTCTTTTTTAAAACATAGCAAACAGACAGTTGGGAAAGAGTCAATTAACGCAAGTAAACAGAAAGAAAAAATAGATGGCCTTGAATTTCTTTGAATTTCAAGAAAAATCTTAGTAATTATGCTTTTTTAATAAAATTAAAACAATTGGAGAAAACTGGATGAATAGGAAAATTTTTTATTGCACTGAGAATCTGAAAACAAAAACCACTTTTGCGAAACTAGTAGTCGATCACACTTTTCTTAACTTTAACACTTATGCTATACGACGGTGGAAATTGTTTGACTTCCTTTCAACAAGGGAAACCAACTAAAATTTAAAATATCAAGTCATACCGCGAAAAATCAAATTTGAGCCTGAACAAATTTTAGGAATTTTCCTGAAAAAAATCATGGCGACCTACAAAAGAGTCTTCGCTGCGTTCATCGACTCAATGTTTTAAAAATTTTATCTTCGAAATTTAAAAAAATATATGCGATTAAGGCTCTTCGAACTTCAACTAGCGTGTTACTCACCTCCGGCGCTTCAAATTTTTGACAAATCAAACGGCATATCTCGGAAGTTAAAATGATTTGAGCAATCATATTTGGAAGCTAGATTTGCAACCCGTGAGAGTACCCTGACAGCACCCAACTACTGGGCTGGGGTTTTGAAATTTTACGTAGTTTTTTTTAATTCAAGTTTTTTTTATAAATTACATAAAAACGTCATATCTCGATAAATAAAAGGATTTCACCTGACAGAGGAAACAATTCAAACTTTCTGCGACTACCCTGGCAGCTCCTAGCTATAGGGTTGTCAAATTCCAATTTTGTTAAAATTAATATTCCTGTTGTTTAGAAATTTTTGAAAAAATCATTAAAAATGTCATATCTCGAGAGCTAAAAAAACTGAACGCTCATATTTGTAGGCAAGATTTGAACGACCTTAGGGTACCATAGCAGCAAACAAATACAGGGTTAAGAACTATATTTTGTAAAAGTCATTTAAAAACGTCATATCTGGGCAACTAAAACAATCTGAGGACTAGTATTTGGAGGTACGATTCGCAACGCTTGAGACAACATGGCAGCACCCAACTTGAGAGTTGAGAATTTCAAATTTTGTGAACTTAGCTTTAAGGTTTTCCGAAATTTTTTGAAATATCATAAAAAACGTCATTCATATCTCGGAAACTTAAAAGATTTGAGCATTCAAACTTAGAGGCAAGACAGGCTACCCCAGAAAAAACCCTGACATCACCAAACTATACGGTTGGTAATTTCAAATTTTGTTAAAGTTTTTTTCAAACCGAAGTTTTCTAAAAACTTTTCAAAAAATCACGAAAACCTCAAAATCTCCTTAATTAAAAGGACTTGGAAATTCAGGTTTGGAGGTCGAAGTCGCAACAACTGGCAAAACCCCGACATAATCCCATCATTAGTTTGCTAATTTCAAACTTGGTGTAACAAACATTGAATTTAAACTGAAAAGTATATAAGCATTGCCATAAACGACATAGCTTAATGTGCAAAAACTCATTCGTTAAACAAGCAAAAAATAATACGTCGAAAAACTTACACATGGCGAGATTGTGAAGCATGGATTTAAAAATATAAAAATTGGATATTCGATCGATTGAATTAACCCCATTCGTGACCTTTCCACTTTTGCCTTTCGATAGTGCATTTTGTAGAGTTGGCATGGTACCGGGACGAGTACACTTAGTACTAGTACGGTAGGGTACCCAAGTTAAGAGGTACTAGTACCTTGCCAACACGGGGGGTTAATTGTGACCTTGTTTTCGCTCAGTATTTGCTAAGGTATTGAAACAATTCGTTGATTATTATAATATTTATAAATTCAAAAGATTTATGGTATTGAGTCCAGGGGTTTTGTAAGAACCCTTTTATTGAATTGTGCTAAAAGTTTTTCAATGAACGTTTGAGACGTTCAGTTTTTTCGTTTCTTTGCAGGCGCAGCTGCAGCTACAGTAATCGCCAAAGGCATGGGTCATTTTCGTTATATCTTTGTTTTCTAGAAGAAACTTTGTTTTTTTGATGTTGATCAATAAGGATGTCTTCACTGATTAGGTGTTGAAGAGATTGGTCAGATGGCAGGCACGAATTTAGAAATCAGAATAACATTTTTCAGTCTCATGTGACTGGCTAGCTGTAAAGTTGGGAGTTCTGACTTCTTGTCTCTCTGTATTCAGAGATTGAGACGTATTAGGTCAAATTGATGTCGACATTACCGTTGATTTTTTTTGGCAAATAAGAGGATCACGTGCAGTTTTTGATATGATGAGAGAGGTTAAATATTAATTATGAGAATTTTCTTTTTATTGCAGGTTATTTAATGCAAATATCTAGGTTAAGGCTTTTTGCGTGCTTTCCATTTGGCATCCATAGCTTTGAACCGTAGCTGATAATTGGTACTAGGCAGCATATGAGAGAATTGTCCGGACGAATAAATTGGTCCTGGTTAGGTTTCGTTAAACACTCTAAAGGGCATTGATAGCTTTTTCTGCTTTCTTCTTCGCATGAGCAGTCCATGATACGTTTTCAGGAATTAAGACTCCTTGTCTTTCATTACTTGTTGGGAAGTGACACGCTCGAGGAGCCTTTGATGGCAAAAAAATTACTTTTTGTTAGAATCATCAACGTGAAATTGTCGGCGCACCATCTATACATTCGTCTAACGTCGATGTTCAGTGTAATGGAGTTGTCGCAGATGATTTTAAAAACGTCCCCATAGCCAAAAGTTTGGTGACATGATGTTGTCTGTTAAGTCATTCAGAAACACCAGTAAGAAGAGGGTCACCAGTAGCGATCCCTAGAGATCACTAAGCACAGATATTTCACTTGATATTTGTTCATTAATTCTGACCGTTTGCTTCCGGTTTTCTATGTAACTCTGTAGTAGGGTGAGGCAGTTGCGATAAATGCCAAAATTAGTTTTTCTAGAATTATTTGATGTGATACTTTGTCGAAGGCTTTTTGGAAATTGATATAGAAAGCACTCAAATTTGAGCATTTGGCGAGTTAAGCTCAAAAAAACATGATCTGGGTATTCGGTAAGGTTAGAGATCGTTGATCTGAATCCGTGTCGGTTTGGGAAAGGCTTTGGAGAAATAAGTGACAAAAGCTTATCAAAGATAAGTTTTTCTAACAGGTTGGAGTTCGCGCACAATAGACTTATTGGTCTGTAGTTTGGCGTAAAATTTAACGCTGTCTGTATGGTTTTGAGTGCTCCAGAGTCGAAAAGCTGAATTTTATCTACGTTAACTCTGTTTTACTTGATGATGTTGATTAAGTCATTTATCAACTCGAAATCGATTCCGAAAAAAATGTTCGAAAAAAGGTTTATTTTTGCTGAACGAAGTCCATTTTTGCGGTACAAGTACACGTACTAGTACTTCTGGTAACGGTCTTAGGTGGTACAACTAAGTGGCCAACTCTAACAATTTACCATATTTTTATCAGAAGAAATGCACTGAAAAAAAGTCAGTCAAATCGCGAAAAAGTAAATTTGAGCGTGAACAAACTTAAAAAATCATCACGACCTATTCAAGTGTCTTCAGAACGTTCATTGACGCTTAAAAACAAAACTGAAGCAGAAAACCTTGACCAGTTTGATGATAATGTTAGAAATCTAAAGCTCCAGATTAAGCTAGTTATTCTTGAAATAAAAATACCTGCTCTGTTGGGGCGATAAGATAAATAGCCTCCAAGTTCGTTATGGGCTCACGATTTTTGCTTATATCCTCTACGACTGAAAAAAAAACAATGATGACATCAATTGATATGGTTCCAAATGCACATCAGACTTGCTATATTTGGCTCCTTACTTGTGACGCCTTCGTTATTCAAATCTGTCATTTTGATACACGCTGAGATCATTCGCATGGAAAGACTATCAAGTACCATGACTTTCCATTCTCCTCGTTTGTGAACAGACTGTATAACGTCGTTCAGCAACTCTAAAACAGGGGAATATTTGAGCTTAAATTATTTTTGAGCTTAGAGTATTTTGATATTAGATATTTAATAAAGAAGCATATTTCAAAAAGGAGCTTATTAAATATTCTTATAATCAAAATTCAACGTCAATGTTAAGAATTTGGCATATATTGAATTAGAAAAACTTCACTTTTTTGATCGCCAACTTATATTTTGTCAACATTGGCTAGTCTGTTAAACATTCGTCAGAAAATTGTTTTTACAAATTGTCTTTCTTAATGGTACTTACTTTGCGCAACTATTCTTTTCAGTGACATTTCTGTCTAAAACCATAAACTCCGTAAGCATTACAGTTTATCAACCCATGCGACTATATGTTTAGAATAGTTATAAGTCAATAGAACTTTAATCAAAATACGAACATATAAGAAATTTAAAATGTTAATTCAAACGTTTTCGCACATTCTGTGCATCATCAGGATTAAAATTTTTTACAATATTTACAAAACGATCAAAGATCTGAAAAATGAGAAACGTGTCTAAAAAGGCTCTAAAACTTTTTAACCAATCAAATTTGAACAACTGTAATTACATAATATATTTACGTAATCATGAATAACATTCTCCTGCAAATTTCTGAGATTTTTTAGTTTTTTGTTCTTTCTGGTTATAAAATTTCGATTTGGGAACATTTTAGATTCTGACATGTCAGTTTTTTTTTAACTTTTAGCCTTGTTATACATATGTAACATTCGCCCGGAAGATACATATCGACGGAAAATAAAACTAAGTCCTAAGACGACTGGCCAACGTCTAAACAGAGCTTTACATGCTTTTAACCGTCTCTACCAAGCCAGTACTTTCGGTGGTCTTTCTAACATCGGGTCGACAAAAACGTTGCTGCTTTCGGCTTTGGTCAAAACACTCAAATTAACTAGATTACATGCAGAAATAGTGAGATCATGGCTGGGTCTCAGTATCCCCAGACCACGAGGTCACTCCTAAAATCAGGGCTACTACTATTTATTAAATTATTATTGTTTTTGTTCAGTTGATAAAAATCATCATCTCCATCGAAGATGGATCAACCCTTTCCCCCAACTCCTAGCTTCTCATCCTAGCAAAATGAATTCAGATGTTAATTAAATTCAATTCAGGACATAATAGCGAAGCTAAAAGTGTATATAAGTTAATAAAAGTTCCAGTCCCGAGACCCCTCCGGATTCCTGAATCCGGGGAAATAAGGCACTTATCTTCCTTCCGGAAAGCTGTCTTCCACCCTTCACCGTTGTTCGCAACGGCCTTGCAACTATTGTATCTACACAATCGTTGCAACTCGGAACGGTCTCTGCTATTCCTGCAATCTGTCGTTGTTTTTCAATCACAATTTCCGTTGTTATCGCTATCGCAACTAATGTTGTTGTGTTTTTCTTCCGGTTTTCTATCAAAAATGGCCGTTTCTGACGTTTCTCAGAAATATGACGTCATACTTCGAATTTTCAAACTTTCAAAATACCAGAATATCTTGACCTTCACCGTTTGACTAATCGTCTCCATAACGTTGTGAATCGCTTAAAACCGTCAATTCGGAAGGTTCGCTGCTAAAATGCCGAATCTGCTGAATTTGCATTTTGGTCCATTCTGGTCGAACGTCACTTACTCCCCGGACAGTCCGGTCAATGTCCCCATTGAATCTCGCAATGTTCGTAAAATAGGTACAGTGTCGTCGAACAGAATTTACAAAATGCACGAGATTACTTTTATCCACGTCACATCGACTCACTGCAGAATATAAATGGCATCATACTACATCACTATAGCCTTCAACTTTTTTCATTAATCTGCACATTGAGGATATGACCTAAGATAAAAACATCTTTTCCGACTTCCAATGTCAATGTCCTGATTAAAAAATTTTTCTCCTAGATTTAAAAGGTGTTGGTTTGTAGGACAGTCCTGCCAACCAACAAGCTTAAATTATCCTACTATGCTTCTTCCCTTCGGAAATCTTGCTTGTTATTGTCCTAAATATTAAAACTAAGAAACTCTGTGGTTAGAAAGAACAATGAAACAATCTCCCTCTTCGAGAGATTACCCAAGCCTTTCATATCACCACAAAGTGATCAATTCTCCTAGTTGATTAAACACAACCATGCAGGCTGGATTATTTAAATATACTCTTTCACTCAAGCCTTTCTAAATAAATAGTAAGTAAGTGTCTCTAAAGCCACTTAACTAAAATCAAAATGCAAATTTATAAAAGCAACAAATTCTTCAATGTTCAAAGCTCAACTAAATGTTTCAGTTTTCAATTACAAATTGGTTGCTTGGTTTCTCACTTGAGTTTTTTCACACACATAAAACAAATCTGAGTTTTCACTTCTTCTTTTTCGTCACTTTGTTTCTCTTCTTTTCTAAAACTTCTAAATTCTTCTAACTTTCTTTCTTTTTGCCTCTTGTTCTTTCGACCGATTGCCAATGTTCCATCTCTTCCTCCTGTGATACTGACTCTGCACTTTCAGTCTCTGTGTCTTGCAGCAAGTCATTAGCTATTCTGACGCTGTTGGAAGCAGTCCTCCAACACTTCTGCTCTTCTTCCCTCTGTTTGCACTGTTTGCAACAAGGTAGGGTATCCACGTTAGATTCTCTGTTCCTGCAGAAGCTGTTGTGGAGACACAACGTCACATTTCGCTCCAGATCTTCCTTCAACATCTCTGCCTTCTCCTTTCCACTACGTTCACTTGTCCTGGAAATTCTCTTTACAGTGGTGGTCACTGCATTCCGATGAGTCACGAAAGCTCGCTTGAAAGCTCCTGCTCCAATGTCCAGCTGATATTCACTGTACACTCTGCCGCGCTTCGACATATGCTTCTTAGCATATTCGTACAACCATGCAGTCATGTTAGCTCTAAACCATGGCATCAATCGTTTTCTTGCCCATATCTTCTTCACTTCCATCGGAATGTTTAGAATCTTGCACATTGTCTCAAAAAGATCTAAGTCTTTTAGACAATCTAATTTCCGCAACTGTTCTCTCGTCGGTGCCTCCTGTCTATTGTTTTCTTTCTCATGAGCTTCCAGCCATCGTATCGCCATAATAACTCTCAGTATCACTATTGTTATGGGCTGTGATGAGTCTGGTAAACCCATGGAGAGCAGCTATCCAGAGTCCCAGATCAACACCAGATTACTACGCTCGGGATACCACCATGTTTGCAGCAAGCAATGGCAGGGAAACTCATCATGTGTCAACATGATGCTCCTCCAATTACGCTTTCCCGAAGCTTCCAGTAATGGTTCCACTTCCATCATCACTCGGTGGACCTCATCATTCTCGTCTACTGTATTGTAATCCGTAACGGTTGATCCTCTCTGTTTCTGTCTCTCAAAGTCACTGAAGTTCCCACTCACGTATCCCATGAACTCACTTCCCAGTATCGATTCCAACTCCTCTTTTGTTCTCTCTGGAATTGCTGAGAACATCTTACATAGCAACTCGTAAGATTTTTTGTACATTCTCGTTAGTCTCACACATTTTGGCACTGAGAAGGCTTGATCCACGATCGTTCTCGTACTCTTTATATCCACAGCTACAAAATGCACCGGGTATCTGCTCTTGCACATTGGAGCCAATGTCGAGCCCACCAAATATCGTGCTCCTGATGGTCTACAATAAGTCTCACTGCGTCTGATGTTCATTTCCGACTCGATCGCTTCCCTCCATTTTCCTATGTGTTTCTGCTCGGTTTGCAGAACTCCTGGGAATACTTCTATACTGATTGCAGTGACCATCTCATGTCCCTGTTCTAGATTCAATAGTGACTCTAAAGAACTAAACATGCTGTAGAATCCTAGTGCAGTCACTAGATTCACCTCGGTTCCTCCATGACAATCCACTATCAGTTCCGTTTCCGTTCTTGCTTTCATCAGGACGTTTCCAAACAATACCGTCAATTGCTTGTGTTGTTTCTCTAGGGTCTTTACGCAGTCCAGACCTCCACAAACGTGATCTTCCAGTCCACAGACTTCCGCCAGACAGCTACCAGGTTTGACCCAGTCTTCTGGTCCCCAGCCAGGCAACTCCACTTTATCTTCCCCGTTGCTCCTAGAGGCTGTTATCATCACATTATATATGATTATCAGGTCACGCAGGTTACAATCTGCATTCAGCTCCCTCTGCACGTCTTGTGTCGCCCGTAATATCGAGTCAGCGTTGGGATTAGGTCACCATGATGGCCTCATCAATTCCCACACTACCATCAAGCTCGTTCTAAGTAATTCATCTGATAATCCCAACCCAAATTCCACTATTTTGTCGGATTTTGGCACGGAAGGTGCAGTCACCTCTTCTTCCAAGACCAGTCCCAATCTGATCTGAGGATTGGTAGCGCTCTTAATCGTTACAATTCTCGACGTCCAGAATCTTAGCAACACTGCCTGCTCGTAATCGAAGAAGCAATCGCGTATGTTTTCACTCAGGAAAGGGTTGTACGCTATCCCTATGATTCCGGATACATAGCTGTACGACTTTTTCTTAATTGGTCCACAGTATTCACTGGATTTCGGCAGTGCCCCCATAGATTCTTTAGTGAGTCTCAGCTCCTTGTTTGAGAATCTCCTGATTTCGTCTATCTTTCTCATGGGCTCTAACTCCTCGGGTTCCTTCATATTCACCCTCATCGATTTGCTTTGCTGCATATCCAGCAGTGTTAGCAAGAGTAAGGCTTTCGCTCGCTCATCGCCTTCCCTCAGCATCTTAACGCAAGTGTTCAATGCAGGTACTGAAATCTGCTCTATCATGAATCGAATGAAACAGAGAGCGTCTCTCCGCTTCGCACACGCTACCGCTGCTCCCTCTTGGATTATCAGATCCCTCAGGTTCGTCATAAGGAAAACTTTCTCTTCTTTTGAATTCTTCCTTTCTTCTGAATCATATTCTTCGCGAGTCAGTCCCATCATGCACCAGGCGAACCTCAGTTGTAACTCTGTTCTTACGTAAGGTACTGCCATGAGAGCGTGTATTCTTGGCGCAGTCCTCATCTCTTTTTCGAAGTACCGTAACACCACTGCTTTCCATGGAACGCTCACCAATTGCTCCATCGTTTCTGCCTGTATCTCAGACGACGCTAAAGTCCCGTACGCCTTCTGCTTGAGGGTGGTGCCTTGCAACATTGTCTCCAGATAACCCTCCATGGCACTCTTATCTTCCAGAGCCATCACATACCCTCTAGCCGAGTTTCGGTATTCCAACATCTCCATGTATCCACCGGCGGGTTCATCTATCGACACAGCCTCCGATACCGTCAGTCGGTTATACTCCACTGGT